AGAATAAGGGCTCCTCCCCTAATTACATATTTGCCCCTTCCTTTATTACATAATTACATTTAAGTCCCCCGAGTATTTATACGAGGTCTAAATACGAGGCCCTAAATATGGTATAAACAGTAGTCCCCCAAGTCTTCAGTCAAGAGAGTCTTTTGGCTGGAGACTTGAAATTCAGTCCATGTGTGGGCCGAAGTAACTAGATGCTGTCTTGAACTGATGTTCGATATGAGGCAGTGCTCAATCTAAAATGACGCTCAACTAGAAGTAGCACACGCTGCGAGGCTGCTCGGCTCGTGGCTTATGTTGCCTTGGTTAGCTCGGCTTGCAGCGTTTGAAGGTGAGGGAGTCCCTTTTATAGAATAAAGGCTCACTCCTCAATACATGGATGATGGGTTAGAGTTGATGCTCTCTAATGGTGGTGAGGGGAGTCTATTTTATAGAATAAGGGCTTGCTCCTCAATACATAAATATGGGTTCGGAGTGATGCTCACGGTGAGACGGTTGCTCAGCTGGCGGCGTTGCTCTCTAATGAAGGTGAGGGAGTCCCTTTTATAAAATAAGGGCTCGTTCCTCAGTACATGAATAATGGGTGCTCTCTAATTAAAGTGAGAGAGTTCCTCTTATAGAATAAGGGCTCGCTCCTCAATACATAAATAATAGGCTAGAGTTGATGCTGGCGGCGAGACGGTTGTTCAGCTGGCGGCGTTGCTCTCTAATGATGGTGAGGGAGTCCTTTTTTATAAAATAAGGGCTCGCTCCTCAGTACATGAATAATGGGCTAGAGTCCCCCAAGTATTTTTCATAAGGCCCAGTTGAGGCCTAATATATGGTACATAATGTAGTCCCCCAAGTCTTCGGTCAATAGACGATGTTGGCTGGAGACTTCAAATTCAATCCATGTATGGGCTGAAATGGCGGTTGTTCGGAGGCGGTCTTTGTAGACCATGCACTGAAGCTTTGTAGGTGAAGCTTTGCAAGTGAAGCTTTGAAGCTGGAGCTCTGTAAATGAAGTTTTTGAAGCTAGAGCTTTTGTAAATGAAGCTTTTGAAGTTGGAGCTCTGTAAATGAAGCTTTTGAAGCTAGAGCTTTTGTAAATGACTCTTTTGAAGCTAAGGCTTTGTAAATGAAACTTTTGAAGCTGATTGTCATGAGTGATGCTCATGAATGTTTGATTGACATGAGTGATGCTCATGGATGTTAACATGAGTGATGCTCATGAATGTTAACATGAGTGATGCTCATAAATGTTTATGTATGATTGATATGAGTGATGCTCATGAATGTCTATGTACGAATGACATGAGTAGTGCTCATGTATAATTTTGAAGTACTGGGTGTACTTTTGATCACCTGGTTGGTGGCATAAATGGCTAATTGCCAAATTATTTTAGAGTACGGTTTGTACATTTCATCACCTGGTTGGTGGTATGAATGGTTGGTTGCCAAATGATATTGGAGTACGGGTTGTACATTTCATCACCTGGTTGGTGGTAATAGCGGCAGGTTGCCGAATAATTTTGGAGTACTGGGCGTACTTTTGGTCACCTGGTTGGTGATAATAGAGGCAAGTTGCCGAATAATTTTTGGAGTACTGGGCATACTTTTGGTCACCTGGTTGGTGCTATTTTGGGCTTATGGGCATTCGCCCTCCATGACATGCCAGCCCATTAATTTTGGGCTTTGCCGTTTTTTTTTTTTTTTGTATTATTACCCTCTGATGTGGTTTATACAGATATTTCTTAGAGATAAAAAAAATAAATCACATCATTCAAAAATAAAGCCCACCCTCTGCTCAATGGGTCACGCCCATAATTCCCTTTTCTACATGTCATCACCACTGCAATTATGTCTACTTCTTTATATCTTCTTTTGCTTTTTGCTTTTACTTTCTGCTTTTCTCTAGACATCCATTTTTTTTTTCTTTTGTCGTGCCCTCCATTTCTTTTTAGGTGCAGAATAGTCTTCCACTTCTTTGTGGAATTGTTTACAATTCCACTAACACCTTTTTCTTTCTTTATTCCTTTCCTCCATTTTCTTCTTCTTTTGTCGTGCCCTCCATTTCTTTTTAGGTGCAGAATTTTCGAACTTTGTGTAGGACCTTCTCCAAAATTAATGAGATGATGATGATAACAGCACATACACCAGCAACAGCCCAGGTGGGCTCTTCACCGGCTCATAGTCATGGAACTTGCTGCCGTTCACTACGTGAAACAGTGGCGTCTCCATTTGCGTCTGTAGTTGCAGCGACACGTGTATGGACCTGACGAAACCGGATGTGGCTGTCTACTTGAGAAGATGGTGGTGCAGTAGGCGGCAGATGGTTGCGGGCTGTGCAAGCTAAGGGTGGCAAAAAGAGACCTTCTTGAAGGTTGCAGAAGAGGATGAGGCAGCCATGGATGATGACTTTGGTGATTGGTGTAAAGAGGAAAGAGAAGTGGACCTTTAATTTTGGCTGCCAGAAGAAACTGTTACCTCTGTCGACATGATCTGGGCCACTCCTTCCAAACCAGATCAGCCCCATTCTTCCTCCCGCAGCCAGCTCCTCGGACCTTGACTTTAAGGAACAAAGTGTGTTGATGCACTAACCTCCGCATCTTGGCCTTTTTCGTTGGTTTTCCACTGGTGGCCGTGGCGAGTTTGCAGCATCATCAGTGGCTGTTTTTTTCGTTATTTCTGCCACAACCTATCCTCGAGCCCAGAGAACTGCAGCGGTTGAATTCGAGGATTCGGAGTTCATTTGATTGTGGACTTCTAACTAAGATGGCAGATTCGAAGGTAGGTGAAAACCTTGATTGCCTTGGAACAAATTGCAGCTGCTCACTTACTTCTTGTGGACTCTCAAGTTGCTGCCATGGCTGTGTTCTGCTGCTTCTGCTTCCTTTGAGAAGAAGACCAGAACTTGAAGAACTACAAGGCACAGCAGAGCTTGGAGCTTGAAATCCATTTGGGATTTTGAGTTTGTGTAGAAGCAAAAGTGAAGCAGGAAAGCAAGAAGGCGAGCAAAATGGTGAAGCTGGTGAGCTTCGCTATGGATCCAACGGCTGAGAAGCACTGAGGCTCTATTTTCTGATGCAGGTTTAGTTTGTAACATTGATGCTTATGTTCTGATTTAGGTCTCAAGATCTGCACAGAAAATGTAGAGAGAGAGAGATGAGGTGGTGGTTGTGTTTCCATCGCTTCTGCCGTGACCGGGAGCTGGAACGGAAGACATGGGTTTTGCAGTGACTCTCTAGGTGTTTGGTTATTGGGTTTCTACAGATTCATGGTGGAGGTTGTGAGGGTTTCACGGTGGTGAGATGAAAATTTGAGAGAGAACCGACATAACTTTTCGTGTCGTTTCCCACAGACGGCGCCAAATGTTGATGCACAAAACCGGAGGTCTTGGAACAACGTAAATCCGACCGTGAATCTGCAAGTAATGTAAATGACACAAGATGTATCGTGGTTCACCCCAAGGTTTGGGCTACGTCAACACAGATTGTATTATATTTCTCTGAGAAATGAGGGAGAGAGAGCTCTGAGAGTGAGAGCTTTGAGAGGGATGAGGAGAGACCCCCCCCCCCCGTTTGTGAGGGTGAGGAGGCCCTTTTATAGAATAAGGGCTCCTCCCCTAATTACATATTTACCCCTTCCTTTATTACATAATTACATTTAAGTCTCCTGAGTATTTATACGAGGTCTAAATACAAGGCCCTAAATATGGTATAAACAAAAGGTTTCAGTACTTTCGTTTGGTTTTCTTTGATGTATGCTGCAAGGAGTATATTTGAAACCCTAGTGTCTCCGAAATAGAGTTCTATTCAGTATAGAGTTTCTCAGCTTTAGCAAATTGCTTGAGTTTCGCAAGCAAAGACAGCATACATGTATACTTAGCATCGTTCATTTTCAGTTTCATTTTAGCAATCTAAAATAAGGATTACAGATTTGGACCAGTAATGGGTGTACGTTTCATTTAGGGGGCGTTTGTTTGCCCTCACTAAGTGGGATTGGACTGGATTGGACTAGCTGTTAGTCCAATACTGTGTTTGTTCCATGCTGGGACTAACATTAATGAGACTAAAGGGGACTAACATGGACAAAATCCTTCACTAAGAAGTCTTAGCGAGACCCCCAATAATCATGGGACTAGCTAAGACTATCCTCTCTCGTCCTCATCATGCTCAACAACCACTCCCGATAGACTCCTCGTCATCTCCGGTCACCTAGATCATAATAAAATATTATAATATTAGAATTTGTTATTATCCAACTTCTTAGTCCAACACTGCATCAAACGCTTCACTAAGTTAGTCCAGCTTAGTCTAGTCTAAACTAGTCCAGCTTAGTCCTTAAAGCTAGTCCAGTCTGAGATAGTCCTGCGCAACAACACCCCCTTAGTTCTTTACATTTACAAATATTAATATCCTCTCTACATTCTCATCATTTCTTTTTGGTTTACTAGGCTTTGGTGCAAGTCATTTTGTTTGTATTTACGATAGGTTTTCTACTAACTTCTTTATTATATACTATTTTATCAGTTAAATAATGGTTTAATAGGCTTTATGCGTTTTTCTCTTTTCAAGTTAAGAGGCTTGCAGTATCTTAATTTAAATATAACGGTGTAAAAGTTCATACAAATTTTCAACTAAAAAAAATTAAAATGAAAGAATGTCTCTTGATAAGTACAAATATTAAAATTAGACATTGTACCTTAGCGTATTGTTACTATAAGAATGTCTTTATGCGTGAACGGGAAAAGAAAAAAAAACCCTACCTATGATGGGAAAATGGTATTCCACATGGACATGCAAAAAAGAGAAATGTTTGAAAGACTAAATTTGTATACTAAATTTTGAAAACTAAAGAACATAGAAGTTGATAATTGATTTATTACTTAAACATGAATAAAGGTACTCATTTTTGTTGATAATACATAATTTAATTTGTAAATTTAGTCTCCCTAGCATTACCTTACAAAAAGGCGGGAAATTTTTACAAACTGAGATTTGTTCCTAGCTAAGTTTCTTTACCTATCGCCCAAAAATCTCAAAAGCTCTTTACTTTTCTCTGCGGTTCTTTGCTTGTTTGATGGATTAAATCTCAGCAGTTGCAATGGCGGGAAAGGGAGAGGGGCCAGCGATCGGTATAGATCTCGGAACTACTTACTCGTGCGTCGGTGTTTGGCAACACGACCGCGTCGAGATCATCGTTAATGATCAGAGTAACCGCACGACGCCGTCTTACGTGGCGTTTACTGATACGGAGATGCTGATCGGCGATGCGGCCAAGAACCAGGTCGCCGTGAACCCCGTCAACACCGTCCTGGGTAAGAATCGAGATACTTTCTTTTTCTTGACGGAAACAAGCTTGCTGAGGCTGACGAGTTTGAGGAAAAGAAGAAGGAGCTGGAGAGCATCTGCAATTCGATCAGTGCCGAGATGTACCAGGGAACAGGGTGCTGGGGGAACTTTCCTCCTGCTGCTGGCAGCGGTGCTGGTCCCAATATTATTATCGAAGAAGTTGAGTAAGCGGTTTTTGTTGATCCAAAGTGTTTGCTTTGAAGAAAGTGGTGAACGTATTTTTCTGTTTCTTAGTTTAAGGTTTGGAATTGGGTACTTTTTTATGGGATTCTAAAATCCAAGATGTAGGATGTTTGGTGATTTTGGTCATTTTGTTCAATATCGTATTCCGGTATTTTGCCAAAGAAGCCTTTTTTTTTTTTACAAAATTCTCTCAGATTTCCTGTTTGAATTTTGTCTTTATTGTTCTTTTCACCACCCGATATGTTAAATAATAATGTCATTTAAAAAAAATTAATCACTTTGTGGAGTAATTCTTTTTACCACCCGATATGTTAAACAATAATGTCATTTAAAAAAAAATTAATCACTTTGTGGGGTCTATTTATGTAGGCAACCAATCAAATTCTTAGAATACACAACGTTTATTATATTTGCATTAAATTTATTAGAAAAATACTAAATGGATTTGACAACAGAATACTTTGTCTTCAATTGACTCAACGCCGTATAGGAAATTGAAGGCTCGGTTCGAGTATATGTCTATGTGGCAATTTTGACATCTGCTTTGGAGAAGTTATAAGTCATCAAAGCAGCTGAGGCTATGGAGGCTATTAGTTCTGTAGCAGTAGTTCCTTGTAGAAGAAACGCTAATGAGCATTATAAAATCAGTTGTAAAACAATGTGCAATGGTGTGAGTTAAACATGAAATTTTAAGGTATAACCTATAAAAAGTTTTTTACTTCCAATAGTTATGGCTTTTTTTAATTGAAGCCCCAAATTATTAAAAATTAATTTTAGCTTAATTTTTTTCACGATAATTTAAAAAAAAAATTACGTAGATTATACTAATTTATTTTTATTTATATTTTAAGCTAAAAATATTAGAATTCTAATAAATAATAAAAAAAATCACACAAATCCACCCCATTCTTAAACACAAGTTCATACACATATGAAAAATCATTTCTACACATTATGTAGATTATCCTAATTTTGTGTGGATGTTTGAATAAATACATAGGTATTTATAGAGTATGTTGCGTGAAATTTGATTCACTACAGTTCATATGGTGTGTGTTTGTGCAATACATGATGAATCAGTTTAGAAATGCTTTTAGATCAAATGCAATGTCCCTCCCAAACATTTCCAATCATTATGCTTTATTAAGAGCTTTTTTGGAAGTGCTTTTAAAATGAATGAAATGACTTTTAGTGAAAATATTTTCGGGTTCTAAGGCCTCATTTGTGAGTTGTACAAGGAATCATATAGGATAAGTTATATGGAGCCGGGTGTTTGGTGCAACTATGTACTAAATAGTACCCGTATTACTTAAACTAGGCCTACATCTTTTATCCGGTGTATGGCCGCTATTTATCCTTCCAAAAACCTATGTATTATTAGTCGGGTCTGTGTCCTCCCTCTATCGGTCTGGCTTTCTCGCATCATTCTACAAACTCACTTCTGTTTCCATCTTCAACCCCAGGTTCTTCTTCATCCTTCTCATTTCTTCTTCATCTTCTTCTTCCTTTTGCACTTTATAGTTGTCGCCCTCCTCTTTAGTTTCTCGTCGCGGCCGTCGCCCTCCTCTACAGTTCCTCGTTGTAGGACCTGCACGCAGGGCCGGCCCTGAGTAATGAGGGGCCATGTGCAAAACTTAGATGGAGGCCCTTCATTTTTTTTAATGTTATATTTCTTTATTATTATTTTTTTTCAATTTTTTCATCTATAAAACTAAAATATTACAAGTTACTGCAACAAAAATAAGTTGTTTGATTAGCCAGGTGTTTTTCCTTACCTTCAAAGGTCCTGAGTTTGATACACGTTGAATGCCTTTTTGTTATCTCTTGTTTACAAATTTGCAAAAGCTTAAAATATAACAAATTATCTCCTGTTTACAAATTTGCAAAAGCTTAAAATATAACAAAACAATATCATTGGGATTCAAACCCAACACATGAGCTAGAAGAAAGAAGAGCTAAATCGCTTACGCTAGAACCATAGATAAGATTATTTTTTTGCATCTAATCTATTTTATATGCATCTGTATATATGTAATGAAAATTTAGGGGCCCTTCCGAATTGGTGGCCTTGTGCGGTGGCACCTGTTGTACACCCGCAGGGCCGGCTCTGCCTGCACGGGTTCGCGTGCCATCGATCCTAGATTTGAACTAGATCCAACTGAAACCCACGTCGTCGGAGCACCGCCTGCATTCACCTACTGCTCAACATCGCTGCAGCATCGTTGGAATTGGGTTGACTCCTCATGGAAAGAAATGTGAGAGATCAGGGAGCAATCTCACATGCATAGAACATTTGGGAAGAAGTCTCATGCTATTGGGTATAGGGTTTATGCTGATTCTATTGTCCATCCCATTTGGTATGGTGAATCATGTGCAGTGGAGAAGATCTAGGGAAGAAATGATTTTTTTTTTTTTTAATAATTTGATTTAAATAAAGGACAAATAGAAAATGCAATATCAAGATTATTTTTATTTAATTTGATGCATTTGGTTGTTCTGAATTTTTATCAAAAAATTATTTCCTTTTTTTCATTAGTCATCAAATTTTTTTAGTAAAAATAATATAATCCGATCTCGTATCGGATACGGTAACAAATAGATTATAAATAATACGGTAATTAGTATGATACTGCACCAAACACTCAATTAATTTAGTCAGTACAATCCGGTGATAGATTATTCTATCCGACTGAAATAGTCAGTATAGTCTGAACTGCCAAACGAGACCTAAAAGCACTTAAAGTGCTTTCACATGACTCACTTGCATTTTACCAAGGATTGATGCCAAAAAATACTAAAAGAGAGTAATAATTGGAAATGCCTTGGGGGATATAATATAAAGATTAAATTTTAGAGAACTTTAACGAAAAGCTCACAGTACTGTTCAATTTAACGAAAAATCATATTTTTACACTAAAAAGTCAATCCTGATACTATTCATTTTACCCTTTATTTTATCTTTATTGTTAAAACTTAAAGTTTTCAAATCATTTTCATTAATTTTTCTTAAATTTTAAGCTTTAACTCAACCATTACATTTGGTCCAAAAGCAATTGTAAACAGTATTGCACAAACACATACCATAAGGACTGCAGTGCAGCCTGACCCAAACACGTTTGGATTCAAAGCCCTTCGAAAGCCCAAAAGTCAAGTCACAGCCCACACGCAAAACGCCACCGTCCTGTGAAACGTTTTCCAACAAGGAAATTGACGAGAAGACAAATTTCCGACGACGAAGGGAGTGGACACGAAGTTTCGATCAAAAAGTAAAGAAACCAACCCCGCGAAGCAAATCAAATCATCACCGTCCACGACACTCGAATCCAACGGCCGTTATCAAACCGAACATTCTGGACACCCTCCCACCAAAAATCGTCAATATCCTCACGAACATTCTAGACAAGTGTCCTACTATATAGCCCCCCAATTCACTACTCTTAATCCAACACCTGTGACTACGAACAGCCCATTGCACAAAAAATCTCAGAAGCTCTTTACTTTTCTCTGCGGTTCGATCTTTAATTTTATCTGCGATTCTTTGCTTGTTCGATTGCTTGAATCTCTGCGGTTGCAATGGCGGGAAAGGGAGAGGGGCCAGCGATCGGGATCGATCTCGGAACCACTTACTCGTGCGTCGGTGTTTGGCAACACGATCGTGTCGAGATCATCGCCAATGATCAGGGCAACCGGACGACTCCGTCTTACGTGGCGTTTACTGACACGGAGAGGTTGATCGGCGATGCGGCCAAGAACCAGGTAGCGATGAACCCCGTCAACACCGTCTTTGGTAAGAATCGAAATTCTTCTCTTTTCTTGCGATATTTCTGATGTTATGATGTTTTTTTTTTTGTTGCCTTGCATGTTGCGTTTTTTGAATCAATTTTACTCTGTACTGTCTGATCTATATGCTTGTATGGCTGATTTTATGAATTTACTGTCAATATTTGCTGCTGGTTTAAATTTTTCTGTTTTTGGATTTCTGTTGCTTGAATTTCTGAGAAAAAGAGTTCAATTTCCTTGAAAGTACTTCTCTTTTTGAGGTTCGGTGTGATAAATTACGATGGAGCTAATTTTATGCGAGGTTTTTGCCTGCCTTGAATCTTTTTATAGCGAATTGAAAAAGAAAAAAAATGGTTGATTTTTTTATTTATTGTTATTTGCAGGATTTATGTAGTTAATATTAAAGGACTATCAAATATTGTACTTGGTGATCAAGGCTTTGAGTTTTAGTTAATCTCTTAAAAATTATAATTTGGGTTTTAAGTTTCTTGTTAATTGATGGTGAAATTTTAGAAACGCTGTCTGAGCTTGTAGTGTTTGAAGCTTGATCTGTTTGGTTATTTTTATTTTTGATAATATTTAAAGGATTTAGCTTGATTGGTAGCATGTTCTGTGTTATGCGTAATTAATAAATTAGTATTTTAAACGAGCTTGGTTAATTTTTCAGATGCCAAGCGGTTGATTGGTAGGAGATACTCTGACCCTTCTGTCCAGGGTGACATGAAGCACTGGCCTTTCAAGGTCATTCCCGGCCCCGGTGACAAGCCCATGATTGTTGTCATATACAAGGGCGAAGAGAAGCAGTTCGCTGCTGAAGAAATTTCCTCCATGGTTCTCGTCAAGATGCGTGAGATTGCTGAGGCCTATCTTGGCTCATCTATAAAGAATGCCGTTGTTACTGTCCCGGCTTACTTCAACGATTCTCAGCGTCAGGCCACAAAGGATGCTGGGGTCATTGCCGGCCTTAATGTTTTGCGTATTATCAATGAGCCCACCGCTGCCGCTATTGCATACGGTCTTGACAAGAAGGCAACCAGCGTTGGGGAGAAGAATGTCTTGATTTTCGATCTTGGCGGAGGCACTTTTGATGTCTCCCTGCTCACAATTGAAGAGGGTATCTTTGAAGTGAAGGCAACTGCCGGAGACACCCACTTGGGAGGAGAAGATTTCGACAACAGAATGGTGAATCACTTTGTTCAAGAGTTCAAGAGGAAGCACAAGAAGGACATCAGCAGCAGCCCAAGAGCTCTTAGGAGGTTGAGAACTGCTTGTGAGAGGGCAAAGAGGACTCTCTCCTCCACTGCTCAGACCACAATTGAGATTGATTCTTTGTACGAGGGTGTTGATTTCTACTCAACCATTACCCGTGCCAGGTTTGAAGAGCTTAACATGGATCTCTTCAGAAAGTGTATGGAGCCCGTTGAGAAGTGTTTGAGAGATGCAAAGAT